GTGTTTGTGTACATGTATTACATCAATCTATTATTTCTTGATTATTAATTATTAGTGATAGTATTAAAGGAATGAGAAGGAAAGTGAAGAGAACTATATCAAATCGTTCCAATAGAAGACCATTCACACCATTGAGGTACTTATAGATATACTGTATAGAGAGAGACTAGTGACATATTATGATATTATTGTGGTACATATTGTATTTATATTATTAGTAAAAATGTTGATCAGTTAGACACAATGGATGAATCATTTACTGATCTTGTAAGTAATATAGTATTAGTAAGAATACTATGAGTGACATACCCTCCCTCCCTCTCTCTCCTTTCATAGGATTCTACTCTCAATACTTGTACACTATCAGTAGCTCCTCCTTTTCCTCCTACTCCAATGAGAGCTCCTCCCACTAAAAGACAAGCATTAGGATATGGACATTCATTTAGTTCAATGGATCTCACTAAATTAGGATCCACTGGTACACTCTGATAACATGTTACTTTATGTATGTGATGCTACTTATTATTATTATTATTATATTTTTAATTCGTTCCTCCTTCATTAATGTATTTATGTACTTATGTTGTATTTGCTTCTTCCCTTTCTGTCTCTTATCATTGCTGTTATTTCTGTTTCCAAACTAAACTAATTTAATTCTGCCAATTACTTTTGTAACAAATTTACTACACTTTAGCACATGTAGACACATGCATAAATAAAACTATTGATAATTGAACCGGGGAAGTTTCTTGTTGCAAAGTCAGATACACTTACATGTGATACTCCTTCAATTTATAAATGTCACTTCTGGCAAGAGGAATTAGCTTTTTTTCCAGTAATCAACAACACTGCTGCATATATTTATATGCTATTACTTACAACTTGATGTCCTGACACACATTAGTAATGCTACATGTATGTCTCAGACATATTTACATATTTTACATGCATGTACATGTACTATGCATGTACTGTACATGTACATGTATTACTACCTAATGTAGCCATAAACTAGTAAATTATTATATATTGTTTTGTTTATAATTTTTTAATCATTCTGGATGGCAGCTGGGTCCTCTTCTGGGATGAGAAGATCAATATAAGTTTCATCGTCATATGTATCCTATTGATGCCACAGACTCAACTACATTATGCATTTAATAATGAGACTTACCACAAATCCACCTTTTTCTTGAATCACCCTCCTTAACCCACTGCATAATTATTAAAATAACCTGAAAATGTTTTTAACAAACCTCTTCATTTTAGTAACCAGTTCTTTGTTGTGTTTTGTATAAAATACACGCCATGGAGCAGAGGTTTCAGCTGGTGGAGCATGCTGTAAGATAATTAATTATTTTGGTGAACAATAGAGTATGCATGTACATGTACATGTAACTAACCCATTCTGTAGTCCATTGTTTTACAGTGCCATCAGAACTGATGTAATACATAGATTCACTTGTAGCTCCTTCATAACCTGATTCTGCAACCTACATGCATATGTGTATAAAAATTAAATATACATGTATAGTCAATAACAATTTTTTCATACATCAACAATTATATCATCTTCACTAAGTTCGTGTTCACATTCTGCTATTTCTTTTTTCTATTAGTAAATTATGTGTTTTATACATTTATTTATTAGTGTTAGTTACCATTTCTTGTGCACCTCCTGATGGTAATTGGCAATATTTAAAATAGCCAATTGGTATAAAAAGCTTTGAAGTTTCAAGAAATTGTATCAATTTTTCTACCTAAGATATTATACAATGAATCAAAAGATAAATATGTATCCACAACCTCTGGATTGACAACTGTTTGTTTTATTACTCCAATGATTGAGTCATTAAGACGACTGTAAGTATCCATGGTCTTTATGGCATCAATAAGTGACAATCTTTTTCTGTTATTTAAATTAAAGTTACAGTATTTGATTAATAATAATTAAATTACCCGTCAGGTCCTCTAATAAATTCAGCTTCTCCACATTTTATTAGAATTCGATTGATCCTATAAACTAGTAGAATAACAAACATCAATACTTTATCATTATACATTGTAGCAACAATTCTATTTTTTCTTTCAAAATATAATTCTTTAAAAAGAATATGACGATCAGTAAAGAATTTGTTGTATGTGTCTAAATCCTATATTTTATATACAATTAATGTAATATACATAACTGTGATACTTCTTCAATAGCACAAATGTGTCTCTTTCCATCAGAACACACTTCAACATGTATTTTATCCAGAAATTTTCTAAAATAATTATTTAATTTAAATATGGTTGTAATAAAACTTTAAAATTAACCTCCACTTAAAATTAATCCTCTTTCCCAATACAGCTGAATCTCTCATTGTATAATCCATTCTGTTTACATCCAAACTGCTCATTCTGTTCACCACTATCTGTAAATAATAATATATAAATAAAAAAACAGATTACATCATACCTCATAAAGGAACACTTTATCTTCACGCAGTGCCTAATAACCAATGATAATGTTACAAGATGACATTACAGTAAACATACAGCTTGTGGTCCCATTTTTCCTGTCATTAGTTCTTTGATAAATTCAATATCTTGTTCAGGATTATCCAAATATTCATCAAATGGCAATTTGTTGGCTTCAATCATATGTTGGAACATCATCACATTAGCAGGTGAGCCCTAGGCTTTCATTAAAGTAAAGATAATATATTGATAATGTACTTTCCAATAATGTATAGAAGCTTTGATTTCCTTCAAGAAATCAGAAAAAATGTGAGAGAAAGGACCATGACCCAGGTTATAGCAAAGAGCAGCAATTTGTACACACAAAACATCAGAATCAGTAATATTCAGCTCAGGCTGTCTCTTCCTGAGTGTCTTCACAAATTTCCCAGCAAAATAATACATTCTGCACCATAAAATAAAATTTTAATGATTATTTCTCAATATAGGTACTTAGAATCTATTATCTAGCCTCCACTTCCTTACCCAATGCTTTGCTCATATCTTGAACATGTTGCTCTTGGTATATTATGATAAGTGTAGCCTACATGAAATTAACATAAGAGCTAAATTATTTATTATAGTTTCGATTACAATAATTTACCCAATTTTTTAATTTTCTTGAGTCTTATAAACTGCTCTGTTCTCACAATTTTTATCAATAAAGGATGATCTATTTTGATGAAGCCATAGATATCATCCTCATATACCTATAAAATTATATTATGGTACACATGTGTCTATTGCTTACAATAGGATTAGGATCTTGTTTTAATCCTAATTGGCCTATACTCACAAGATAAAGTATTATGAATTGGTTTATCTTTGCTAAAATACTTTGTTTCCATTGACTACTGTATATATCTTGTCTCAGAGTAGATAATTCTTCA